AACTTCTATACAACGACAGGAGACTGCGACCATACAAAAGGCCACACCATCTTGGTCTTCATACCTATATCACAGCAAACATAAATATATATAGGGGTTGTTTGAGCTTGTTTTCGCAATTTGGTCATATTGGTAGGAAGACTTAGAGGAATGCACCTAGTCCAGAGTCCATTGTATCCATGATCATTTACAAATTCCGCCTACGAATCAAGGAACATCATAGACTCTGCAAGAACATGGATACGGAAAGGTCCAAAAAGGCGTAACACATTGCATGAACTGAGTACAAAAGCGACTGGAAATCTACTGGAAATCGACCAAAAGGTTGGCTGCGTATAGTGAAAATACGAAATAAATCTAATGAACAGTAGACTTTAAGGAGGCAGGATTAGAAAAACTTTTCATATTGCCTAAACAAACTTTGAGAAGACCAGGCAACAGTAAGATCAGCAAAAGGAAGACGACTGTATCAAGGTATCATCCTTAATTTTAGGAAAAGAAATCGCAAGGGGACGAGAAAGGAACAGTCGGAAGCAGAGAAGAGACGTCTTCAGTGAACCTAATCGAAACATGTGGAACCACGAAAATTGTGGGTTGGCACACAATATACTAGGACATAGTAAGTGATAGACATGGTATTACAGATATAAACAGGAAATACGCAGTGGAGAATAGAGCTATTTGGCTAACAATAGACGTGTTTGATCATACACGTGATCCTGGAATCACGACTATTGTTAACCAACTAGTTCTAGTTTCCACTGCTCCTTTCCTCTTTCTATCTCTAATACCAAGACTATGACTTCCTATGACCTATTCTCTTGTGTGCAAACCCACAAACGTTGTGGTTCAACAATGAACCTAATCAAAGCAAGCAGTACCACAACATTTGTAGGTTAGCACACAAGAGACTAAGTCATAGACTATGATGCCGGCGAAACGTCTGGGAATGTACCACGTCCACGGTCCTACTCTGGAAATGATTATGCATACAATGGACTCCGGACTAGGTGTGTTCCTCTACGTCATCCTACCAATATAGCCAAGTTACGAAAACAAGGTCAAACAACCCTTTATAAATATATAAAAATCTTATTAGTCATTTAATTTTTATTAGAAGAAGTCCTGTTTTTCTTATACCCTTACTTCCTCGACATGTCGTATTTATAAAAAGATATCGGTTGGTAAGGAAGAGAGAATAAGATGTTTTTCAATAAAATCTCTTAGCTGATACATCATACAGCTCCAGCTGCGAGAGCTTAATGTGCCTAGCTGATAGCCTTGATGATGGTAAGATCTGTCGCACTATTCACCAAAGTTTGAGCTGAACAAAATAGTTTTGTAAAGGCGGCTAGAAATGGCTCAACACATGACATAAATGAGCAGTATCAAATACATCATTTTGCTGAAAATATAAGCCTACTGCTAAATGGAAATTAGGGGAAGCTTAGAAGGTTAACAACTCAAAGAATGGGATGAGTAGTTAAATAGAGCTATAGGTTCCTAATAGAATTTATTATCCTTGATTGTTAGACTGCGGTAGAGATGATGAGCTCACACTCACTCCATACATATTTTAGGCCTACAAACTCAACAAAAAGTATATGCAAAAGTATGTAATCCGAGTTACGCGCTCCTCTAATTAATCAGACACAAGAAAGGTGGTCTCGTATCCCTGCTAATACATGCATGGACACATGCATCAATGCTCGTTCAAAAATACAATTATTTAGACTGACGCCTAGAGGAACTAACCAAATCAATCTCTCTCTCTCCATATTTAGTACATATATCGGGCTTAAGAATTAAACTAAATTTCTTTAGGAATGATGCCCGATTCTTACTATGTCTGTCATAGGATAATAGAAAGTTCAACCAGTTTTCACCTAAACCTTAAGAGGATAAGACGTAGACAGTTTCAACTTTTAGTGCCTATATCAAGTCAAACTACTGTCGGTGGGCAGAGATCCGTTATCTGATGCTAATCCGCCTTCTGATAAGTTCGAGCTATGAAGCACTTCAACAGCCAACCGAACTTAAAGGAATGTCGCTTCTACAATAAAATAGAAGCTCGTTGAATAGTTTACTAACGGACTCTTGATTCGCTTCACTTGATAATCCATTCATATTTGTTGAGCCTAATTCCATTTCGAGTAAAAGTGTTGGGTGAAAAGATTCGAAGTTCGGTTCCACCAGAAGACGGCAGCCGATTCATTTTGATCAGATGTCGATTGGCTTTACTGTAAGATTCATACTGACGCTGTTTCCGAGGTAATCTCCTTTAATTCCGGTGAAAAGTTCCGTCATGTGACGAACATCATCAGAGCATGGTATCATCGTCACAACCAAATTCAAGCTAACGAGTCAAGAAAACTCACCGGCAAATCCCTAAAAAGTGATACATATACTCTACATCTGGCCTCTTAGATCAAGTATAAAGTGATTTGGTTAGTTAAGGTCATATGTCAACTTCGATGCCTGTGAGTGTGTCTGTTTCTGAACACAAACAAGCACATACGCATATAGAGACAGTCACACTCACAGACATCAAAGTTGACATATGACCTTAACTAACCAAATCACTTTATACTTGATCAAAGAGGCCAGATGTAGAG